AAATCGAACGCACAGTACTCACACACGCGCAATACTGGAGTGAAGACGACCCTTCTTCGAACTCCTAATTTTATCTTTGCGGGTCCAATGACAGCTTAAATTTCCCCCGGGACAAACTTGGCCTTCACTGGTTGGGTTATTGGCGGTCAAGCTGTAAATCCTGGCCACACAGGAGTTGCAGTGGTGGGAACGAGAGGTGGGAATAGTCCCATGTCTTTCTATCTAATCTTACGAGTTCCTTGATCTGTAGCAATCGTCTATCTGGAGACATAAATAGTAACTACCCTCAATTTCGTGGCTGATAACATTCAGCTAATTTGACGTCATTTAAATACCTACTTAGGGCTGCCAAAGCTTCCAAACTCTTAAATTATAATTTGTAGCGCCCATCAGCCCATAATGATCTGTATTGTAACTGTAACATCTTGAACTGACCAAATGACCACCACCGCTGGACAATGGCCTCCCCCAAGATTTCCTCAATGACAAGCGGGCTGCGTTCACTTTGACCTGTGCGCTAAAAAATTTCAACTGCAACGCTAACGCCAATCAGTTGTTTGCACAAATCCGTATCGCGGTGACGCTTTGACAGTTAGTTCAAACGATGTAAACGGAACGCTACTGCGTATTTGTGCAAAAGCTGACAGAAAGCTACTTTTTTTCAAACACAAGTCTTCGCGGATATTTGCTGCGTTTTAGTGAAAAAATAAGGTGTTCGGACTTTTAATGGAAACTGCATTAATACGTTATTTAGTCTGTTTGCGCGTGACCTTTACCGCGATAGAAAATTGCACATCAGTTGGAATGAAAATGAAGTGTGACTAGAGTGTGGACTAGAGATGAAACGCGAATGAATTAGAGACATTATAAATTAGCTCAATCGGGGCCCTGACCGCAGACCGCATCCATTGTGGCAAATCTTCACCAAAGTGACAACCATAACCTATGCAACTCCTGCGCATTTATACCCTCTAATTGAACCATTGATTTGTCACTCAGATGATGGGAGCTGGTCGCCGGTTGAGACCAATTAAGGGCATATCTACTATCTAGAGCAGCACATCAAGCTGTCAGCATCTTATGTGGTTTGTAATAAGGGCGAGATTGCAACAAAATTTTTAACCTCATGTGGTTTAGAACTGTAATTATTACAAGGAGGAAAACTGTAATAGAGTTACAATAAAAATATATCCTAGATTCTAGACTCTCTTGGTCAAATAGGATTATGAGAATGCACATTGAGTTAGCGTGGGACGTCCACCCACAAGGTGGACCGACGACATCATAAAGATAGCAGGAAAGCGCTGGACGCAGGCCGCTACCAACTGGGCAGCATGGAAAGCATTGGGGGAGGCCTATGTTCAGCAGTGGACGTCCTATGACTGAGATGATGATGATGATGACATTGAGTTAACCCTAGCTATTGCTTCGGGACACGAATATGCCACATATTTTTAATAAGGTGTCTGTAGAGTTTGTGAAGTTAGGGCGAGTAGAGTTAGAAGCTTGGCTCTACATGACATGAGATCTGATAACTTTTTCATATTACGAACCATTATGGTCTTGTACACAAACATACGTGTTATAGATCGTTTCAACCACGAAGACGCGCCCCATCAATTTTTGGTCTCGGTCGCGCGGGGTGCGAGGAGTTTGATCCGAGCAATCCGAGCGGCATTATTGGTGCGTGTGTACTCATGGGTAATTTAGCGTGTACCGATAACACTCAAACATTAGCGGAAGAATGGTGGGGCGCGTCTTCGTGGATAAAACGATCTATACATGGAAATTGTTTTTGGTGGGATATTATACCTACGCTCGATATACGTTATGCTCGATATACTTGTACTTAAAATTATAACGAACACTTAAATCAACTAATACGCACCCCGGAACTGATATAGCAGTGAAAGTCGCTCCAAATAGATATTTCACTGTAGTTACGTCACTAAGGGTTCTGATTTAGTTACTATTCAATACCAATACCCTTCAGTTGTCGTTTAACTGTAGTAGAAAGTCACAGTCGTATGGTAGCTTAAGCCATGAAATTGTTGATTCATTTATGGGAAAATGCTTTTGTGATCTTGTGGAGAGTTAAAGTGTTAACAAAAGTTCATACATATCAACAAACCTACGAGTAAGAACTAGGCTTCTAGAATATAAATGCTCTAGCATTCTGAATCTTGACAAAAAAGAGATATCATCATCATTTCAGCCATAGGACGTCCACTGCTGAACATAGGCCTCCCCCGATGATTTCCAAGTTGATCGATTGGTAGCGGCCTGCGTCCAGCGCCTTCCTGCTACCTTTATGATGTCTTCGGCATGCATGGGTAATGGGTATGGTCAGCAATGTTCTGGAGTGGCCGCGTACCGGAAAACACAGCGTGAGACGTCCACCCACAAGGTAGACCGACGACATCAAAAAAGGGATAACAAATAAATAATGATCTGTCTCTGTTTACACACATCACATTTGCTAGAATAGGGTTATCTTATTTCACCTTATTTAGGGCCGCGCATGAGCGCAGTGCAAGTCGATCCATTGGGATCTTTTGTGCTTACCTTTACCTTTATTCCCCATAAAAATCCTATTCATTAAAAGTTCAGTCAAACCAACGCGATCACACGCGATCAGATGGCGTGTAGCGATGGCGATCAGACTTAAAAGCATTGATCGCTAACTTGACTTAAAAGCATTGACTGCACGCCGGCTGATCGCGTTGGTTTGGCTGAACCTTAAGTGAATCAAGTGCTTGGGTGAGAGGGACCTATAATCTTCTGGTATCGGATAAGCCGACCCCAGGAGACCCATCCTAGTTCTTGCTAGCGCGTCGCATTCGCACAGTAGGTGTTTCATGGACTCCGCATGTTCTCCACATGCTCGACAGCTGTCATCCGTAGTTAGGCCCATTTTGTGGAGCATGTGGTTTGTGGTGTAGTGTCCTGTTAGCGCACCCGTGATCACACGAGCTTGCTTTCTTTCTGTTTCCATTGAGTATGGGGTTAGAATGAGCATTCGCTTGGTGTAAACCCACCCTTATGCAAAGAGGTACAAAAGTATATCGAATCCTTCTAACTGGGTTTCGTGGTTATCCTGTTTTTTAAACCTGTGACAGACCAAAATTCGCACGAACGAAGCCGTGGGAAAAAATAGTATTAAAAATATTGGGACAGTTTTAACTATTATAGTAAGCTCGAAAGGCGTTTACTTCAGATCAATTTAGTAATTTATATCAAAGGCAAGATAAGTCATTTGCGGTTTTGAAACGTTGATGTAATACATGAAATTACTGCAACTTAAAGCTGGTATCATTAGGGTATAAGTGCTCAATCGTACGACACTTCTATAAAATAATAATAAATAATAAATTATAAAAGCAAAAGGTGATTTATTGATGACTGATTGACTAACTCACTCACTCATCACAAAATCTCAGAAAGTATAAGCGGTAGAAGTCTCAAATTTTGCATGGGGTTTCTATTTAGAACGTAGGTGCTCACTAAGACGGGATTTAGCAAAATTCCACCCCTAAGGGGGTTAAACGGGATCCACGCGGATGAAGTCGCGGGCGGCCGCTAGTATGCAATACGGAAGCCTATCCACCGTTTATTAATTACTACTAAAGCCTGGTCCGTGAGTACCTACAATTTTGTCCAATGACCCCAAGCTACCCATCCTTATCGCTCGCGCGTAATTATATTGCTGTTGCGACTTGCGACTGTGCGACGGGTGCCCGCAGTGAGTGTGCGAGCGCGAAAGCAACATAATTACGCGCGAGCGATAAGGATGGGGTAGCTTTGGGTCGTTGGACAATATTCTACGTGCTCACGGACCAGGCTTTAATAACCACTTCCCTATCAGAATTCAGTTATCAAGCGTCTAATTCGATACACATAAGCAAATTAGATTACCATCTTTTGCAATGGGTACACTAATTAACTGAAGGTATAGTTCTGGTGTATAACTCAGTCAGCGCCTGAGGCATGGGAGCGGCACGGGAGGGGTGACACATAGTAACATAATATGACAGAGTCAATACAAATGAGTAGGTCATCTTCATAGAAACGCACGGGCGCGGTTTGTATGTGAGCGCGCCAACACGTATGCGGCGCGCACGCACACACCACAAAATATAACAGAAGGTAAACTCCATACTAAGCGCGCTCGAGCCACGCACACATAGACACCGCTCACGTACGCGTTATCAAGACTGTCTTGGACGAATGCGAGGCGCGACTGCGTTCGCTTGAGTGACGCTGCTCACGCGTTCGTAAAATTATTTTGTTTATGCGAAAATTAGTGAACAACAAAAAAGGGGTATTATAACATTTGTTAAGTAGACGGTTGCTTTAACTCAACATTAAAAACTAAATTTTCGTTTTTGAAACTAACAGTTGATTCCGGGAGGTAAGTAAGGTATTTATTTGTATTTCAATAGTTCGTATAACGTTGACAAATTGAAAGCCAACTCAATTATTAGGAATATCGAATTGTTTTAGAGAGGTTTTAGGAATTATTCGATAATAGTGTCAACCACTCAACTAAATACTACTTCTTTCTCGTGTATTTGTTTGCAAACTATTACTATAATAACGTACTAAATATAACTGCATAAGTATACGTGGATATCTGTTATTGTCTCTCTTCCATAAATAATATTAAGAGTAACATTTTTCTATCACAACGAAATAAACGCAACACATGACAAGACAACCCTAGCGCGACGGCCGAGCGTGCGAGCGAGAGAGGTATGCAAAGCGAGGTACATACATGAGTTTACCTTCTGTTATATTTTGTGCACACACTGACAAAATTTAGCGGGGATTAGCGGGGAGCCAGTCGTGGTTGCGCCGAATTTTGTCAGTGTGTGCGTGCGCGCCGCATACGTATATTGGCGCGCTCACACACAAACCACGCTCGGTGCGTTTCTATGAAGATGACCTACTCATTTGTATTTACTCTGCATATGATGTGACAGAGAATAGCAGGTACATACCTCCATTGTGGTGGGCAGCACGGCGCGATCCCGGCGCCCCGCGCCCTCCCTTTCATCCTGGAACAAAAGAAAGAGAAGGACGATCATTATTTCAATCATATTTCTACCAAATTATAAACAATACAATAAAATTAATAGGCCTCTTCAATCATTAAGGTTATGTTCAGCTTGGACGTTGTTAATTTGTTTTTTTGTTGTCATTTTATTGAAGTGAATTTTATAACCCCTATATTTGCCAAATGATTTTCCCTTAAATCCCGCCTCATCATCATCATCATCATCATCAGGAGGTCATTTAGTCTCCACTGCAGGACCACGACCCTCTAATTGACCAGAGGCAAATGGAGGATTTGTCCTACACTCCCCACGCTGGCCAGACGGGTTGGGGAGGCCTGATGTTCGCATATAATTTAATTTTGTCCCTTCCTTAGTCATATCTACGAGAAGAGTATAGGGTCCCTAACTCAAATAGTTCGTGACACCCAAAGTAGCCAATAAGTTTGCAACACGTCTTTGTTACAATTGGAATAAGGTTGTGTTGTCAACTTTTTGCCAATTTGATTCTGACTGTAAAATCTGTAGTAACAATGTACTGTCAACTTCACTTATAGTTCCAAAATACTGAACTGTCCTATGCATGACATTGACAGTGGGGCGCCACAGTCAATACCGGATCGCTGGTTCCGATTTTTGCCATGTTGGAAACCATATAGTTGAACGATGGTAGCGCCCCCCTGTCATTGAGTTTGGTGGGACAGTTCAGCTTGGGTCATCTATACAAGCTTTGCTTAATTTAGGACTAGATAAGATAGATACCAAGAACAACACTTGCGCTTTTCAATCGTAAAATACCGATAATTACTGGTTACCAATAACGTTACAATATACCGGTAACTTTCACGCAAGCAAACAGGAGTTGTTCAACTAATTCCAGAACAAATCTTGTAGCTAAGCTCTAGATAAGTGCTGTAACAATCTGCTAGCTGACAATAAATCACTGAGCGCCGTTCATTTATACAGGGTGTAATAGACTAGCAGGCAGTACTGGGGGCCTAGTGTGAGTTTATAGTTCCAAAATACTGAACTGTCCTATCCATGACATTGACAGTGGGGCGCCACCGTCAATACCGGATCGCTGGTACCGATTTTTGCCATGTTGGAAACCATATAGTTGAACGATGGTAGCGCCCCCCTGTCATTGAGTTTGGTGGGACAGTTCAGCGTGGGTCATCTATACATCAAACGCGCTAACTAGTGAGCGCGTCAAAACTGACATTAAATTTATGACGGATTGTACAGCGCCCCTAGCGGGAAACGTTCAAAAACTAAAATTTTCATACATTTTTTAAACGCGTTTAATGTAAACTCACACTCAGCCCACTGATTAGCTCACTAGCACATGGTAGTGTAAGCTTAAGCTTAGAAAACAAGCTTTGCCTCCATCTTTATTCGCCTGAAATTCAATTTGTACAAAAAGACCGACTTATGTAGGATTTCGTTGTAATTAGGCCAAGAACTCCATTTTTTTTTCTAAAAACCTATCGAGTGGGGTATCAAAATAAAGAGTTTCATAAATTGCTTGCAAAAATGTTAGTAAGTTATTTAACTAAAAAAAAACTTTAAGAAAACAAAAAAAAAACGACTGCATAAAAATGAACTGAAAAGATAGAAACAAGGCAACTTACTCGTAGTGTTCACAAATGCAGTCGGAAGCATTAAATACATTATCACCAACAAAATAATCAGTCATTGATCCGACTGCATTTGTGAACACTAAGTTGCCTGTTTCTTTTCAGTTCCTTTTTACGCCTTTTTCAATACCCGAGTATTGTTTTCTTAATAATTGAGTTATGAAGGGGTCAAAAGTGGCTCCAAATGGTTCATGTAACACGGTGCTGCTAGCCAGTTCTGTTACTTGAACTTGGCTTGACACGCCGCCGCGTGTCTAGATATCTTCTGTAAGAAAATGTTTCGCTTTATTGATTCTTTTCGTGTTATGAAGTATTTGATAGGAAAAAAAAGATACATGGTGTTTAATTTTATACGATGGTACGGAACCTTTTTTACACGAGTCCAACTCACGCTTGACCAGTTTTTAACCTTCATACAGCGAGCTTCGCAACGCACATCGCAAACATTAGGATATCGTTCGGTGAAAGCGCAAAATGCTACGTTCCCACGATACAGTTGCGCATACGCATATAGCTGTCCCTTTCGCACGCGCGCGTTTTGCGGGCGAGCGACAGGGATAGAACGCTGAAATTTTATTAGACCAGCGGTCTAGTTTGGTAAACGTTGTCTGGCCCATTTTATGTATAGGGAAATTGTTGGGCGACTGTCTGTCTGTGGCAACTACGGTCTCTATACGCTTTTATTTAGTTGATAGAGTTTACTCTGTTCCCAGGTTCGAGTTCCATTTGGGTCACTTTAAAAATTTTGCGTTTGAAGAGTTTTGGATTCTTATTATATGACACAGCCCTGCCTGCTCGATGGACCGACGTCCTCAAACTAGTAGTGACAATCCATTGCCGGGCTTAAAAAGTGACCCAGTCCTGGGTAGGGCAATATCCCCCCACTGATAATCGAACCCGGGACCTCTACAGTTGGTTGCAACTAGTCCACGTTTCCAGTCCACCAGTAGTAGGTACGATTTTTGCCCTACTGCGCCAGAAGGAGGGTTATGTTTTTTTAGTAGAACTTTTTCCAATTTATAATAATAATGGTTATTCCTTAAAATTGGAGCCTTTCGAACCAAATTAAATGCGACTGTGTGTGCAAATTATATTATCTAAATAGCTGTGCCTGCGACTTCGTACGCGTGAAAATAGTTTGAATATAATTTACCGTTTTTGCAACATTTTTCTTTAGTGCTCCGCCCTTATTGGATGGAGGGTGATGTGATATAGCCTACAGCCTTTCTCGACCCCTATTGGTTGCGGGGTGATATGATATACCCTAAAGCCTTTCACGATAAATGGGCTATCCACCACAAAATATTTTTTCAAATTGGATCAGTAGTTCCTGAGATTAGCGCGTTAAAGCAAACAATTAGTACCTATAGCAAACGCTGCACGTAGCTAAAATGGAAGAGCAATCGCCCGGCAAGCGAAAGGACGTGGGTCAGTTCGACTTTTTCAAGTAATTTAAAAAATAATTAGTATAGAAGTACCTACATATAATAATGTTCAGTAATCCTGAAATTGGAGACTTTTCGAACCAAATTAAACGCGAGGCTGTGTGCAAATTATATCATCTAATTAAGGTCTGCAAGATCACGAGTGTATTAGCTACGGCCTTGCTATCACTGAGATGGCACGGTGCATCGTACAGTCAGACAAATAGTTCGTGTCACCCAAAGTGGCCAAAATGTTGACAACACCACCTTTTTTTTTTCGTCAGGAAATGCATGTAATTGCATACCCACTGGCCCGGGGGAAACAGTCGGTTATGTGAGGCTCTTCCTGCCAGATGGGCAGGGCCTACTCACTAAAACCTGACGGTGTCCTCCCGAAGTCTTTGGGACGGTGCTGCGAGTTATTGTCCGAGCTGTCCGAGCTAGACGGCCTAGACATTCTTTCGCGGCTCCGCCCCAGTTTCACGGCTCCGCCCCAGTTGACAACACCACCTTATTCCAATTGTAACAAAGACGTGTTGCGAACTTTTTGGCTACTTTGGGTGTCACGGAACTATTTGATGCTGACTGTACGCAACTTGTGTGACCTAGGAAGAGGCGTTCGGTGTTAAGGCACTTAGCAGTTCCTACCAATTTTGTTTGAAAATTTACTTAACGCTTAATCTAGTCAGTGCCTGAGATATGAGAGTTAAAGATCACATGCTTAAAAAAGCCTATTATACAACTCGAGATTTTCTTAATGATAAGTCATCCTGGGAGTAGGATTATGGTCCTCTCATGCTCGCACTAAAAAGAATTAAAATGAAAAGTAATATTGTATAAACTAATAATAATTTCTCAAATGTTATAGTGTCATGCTTCTCAATCTGGACTGTTACTTATACCTTGATTTTTTAGAATCCAGCAGAGATGTAAACAAACACTTTCATACACAATTACACCATAATCACTTAGGTGTTCATAATATCATACACATTATTTAACAAGCCCATGAAACCAACTTCATTTTCACGTTTAAACAAGTTTGAAATCAAGATTGATTTCAAACTTGTTTAAACGTGAAACAAATATTTTAGCAAAATACGTAGACGATGAAAATTTGTGAGACTTGTCAAATTGACTTGACGTTTAAAATCATGAGTGTTATCTCCATATTGTCTATGACTTGTCTCTGACACATCAGTGCTGTAACCTGTGAGTCATAGACAATAATCTGTACATTTAATCGATATTATTTTAAGTATTCACTTATTCCGATTACTGATTAATTTTAAATAAAAAATTTACGATACTTTGTTTAGTTTTCCAGCGATAACTTCGACAATATTGGAGATAACGTAAAATTATTTTTCGACTTTTAGTGTTACTTTTTCGGAGTCAGTTGAATTTTTAGTCGGTTTTATTTAAACGAAATTATTTAACTTTTTTATGCAATTATGCTTACGTATTGTTCCATTGCTTATTTTCCTACATAAGTAAATAAAATAAAAGAATTTTGCAACTATTTGAAGTTTAATAACTTTACGGATATCATTGATTGTTTTACTGTCCAGTGTGTTTTTTGATTACATCTGTGCATACAGTTTGTTTCCTGTTCTCGAAACTTTCATAATCAGTTCACATTCAATGTTGCGACTTTGTTGCATATTTTTAGTATTTTGACGATCACCCGGCGATGATACGCAAGTACTACAATAATTTCACTTCGCGATTAACGAGAGGTTTTGTCGCATCACTAGTTCACAGACTAAAAATATTTTTATGTCAGTTGGCCATTTTTGATGACATTTCTGCTGATTTCTAAAAAATTAGACTGTAGCTTTGTTATTTGTTTTTTTTTAAAGAGATAACTTGGCATTGTCATTCTCACTAAAATGTCTCTTCGGTGGTGGCGTAGTGAGGCGGGTCGTTACATTCCCTCTAA